CGGTTGTACGACCGTGCCAAGATACCGTCGAACTCCTAATCACCGCATCGAGGAACACTCCCTTATCACCCAGAAGCTCTCTAATGACCTATTATGTCGTCGGGTACAACTATCTACTGGCCCCGTCGTTGTTTCCCCACTGGGGCTGGTACCCAAACACGACGGAAGCTGGCGCCGTATCCATGATCTCTCCTACCCGCCGGGTCAGAGTGTCAACGAGTCTATCCCCGACGCTGCTTCTACTATACAATACATCTCTATGGATGACATCTTTGATCTCATACGCACGTCGGGACGAGGGTGCTATATCATCAAACACGACATCAAGGATGCCTTCCGTAACATTCCCGTCGCTCCCGCTGACCGGCCTCTCCTAGCCTTCTCGTGGGAGAACAAGACATACATGGAGTGCTGCCTCCCATTCGGCCTTACAACTGCACCCTTCATCTTTAACCTTTTTGCCGAGGGCCTTAACTGGCTCCTAAGCGCTTGCTTGCCTTTGGCCTCTGTCGCTCATTACCTTGACGATTTCATCACTATTTTCCCTTCCTCCGCAGGAAGTCTCTCCAAAGCCCTTACCGCTTTCAATACCGTATATATTCCTCTCACGGATGCGTTAGGCATCCCACGGAATGACTCGAAAGACGCCGCGGGTACCGTGGTCAGTGTCCTTGGGGTCGAAATCGACACCACACTCCTACAGGCCCGAATGCCTCGCGATAAGCTAGCACGCGCATCTTCCGAAGCCGCGTCGCTACTACAGCTAGATCGCGTCTCGCATAAAGCTTTGCAACGTGTAGTCGGTTTCCTCCAACACTGCTCAATGGTTATCCGTCTCGGCAGAGCCCGCCTTCAGTCGCTCTACAGCGACCTCGCATCCTTTCCCTCCCACCAGCGCTCCGTTCGCCGCCTATCCCATGATAGCCGCGGGGATCTTGCGTGGTGGAGGGACACTCTCCCGTTATTTAACGGCATCCATTTCTTCGAGAAGAGCCGCCCCCTAGTTGCCCTCTACACAGACGCGTGCGACTCAGGTCTGGGCCTCTTCTTCTTCTATGCGCCCTCATGGGACTCCGCCAGGGACTGGATGTCTGCAGCACCTCACCTGCCTTCCACCCATACGGCTATCGTGGACGCCTCCTCCGCCTGCGGCGACGTGGCCCACATCAACATCAAGGAGGTCTCCGCAATCCTGCAGGCCTTCCTCATACATAGCCCCCATTGGGCTCATCATCTTGTCCTCGCTTTCACAGACAGCGCCGTCGCGTTTCATGGCCTGTCTAAGCAGGCACTCCGTGGGCCGGCTCATCGCCCCCTGCTCATGCTTTTCAGCATAGCAGCCGCCCTTGATATCGAAGTCCAGCCACACTGGCTACCTTCATCGGAGAACCTACTAGCTGATGCTCTGTCCCGTTCCGATTATAGGATCATCGCTAATATTTGCCCACAGTGGACGAGCTCCTTTCCCTTGCTCCGCCAACCTGGTTCTCTCGACAGCCTATTTTCGTGAATGCTGGCCATGCGAAGCTGGTCTGGAATGGTCTTGCAGAAGGAACCAGAAGAGGTTATCGCTCGGCGCAGCGCTCTTACGCCCGCAGCTGCGCGATCCATGGAATGCAGCCGTGGCCAGCCACAGCCCCGTCTATCTGCACTTGGCTTACGGAGCGCCTACTGGGCGCGGGTAGCTCCCCACCTGTGAAGCCCGATTCAGCTATGTCTGAGCTCTCAGCTCTCCGCGCGTATCACGTCGATAACGGTTTACCTGACACAATTTTTGACCTCCACGCTAAGCATTTTCGTCGCATGATCGATGGCGCTCGCCGGCTGCAACCGCCCCGCCGAAAGCGGATTCGCAACCCAATCTCACGCGCCTCAGTCATAACCCTTTCAGGGAATATCTCACATCTCCCTGCCCAACCGCGGGGGCTCTCAGCGGCCCAGAAAAATGACCTTAATCTTGCCGTGGCCGCCCGCGTTGCCTTCGCCGGATTCCTTCGGGTCGGGGAATTTACATACTCAGCTACCGACCTCAGAGACACTCAAGTCTTCGCTGCTACTAAATTAACCCGGGCGGATGTCAGGTTCTCCCCCACCATGGACCACGTCCTCCTTACTTTGAAGAGAAGCAAGACCGACCGAAACCACGAAGGTGTCAATGTTGTCCTTGCAGCGACAAACGACGCAGCCTGCCCCGTCGAAGGCCTTTCTAAGCTATTCCTCCATGATTCTCAACCTATGACTGCTCCTCTATTTGCGCTCTCCTCTGGTCCTTTCACCTCATCCGCCTTCCAACGTGCGGTTATCTCTAAGCTCAACCGCGCCGGGGAAGACACCACGGGACTTAAGGGTCATAGTTTCAGGAAAGGGGCAGCACAACACGCCCACAACGCAGGCCTAAGGAATGACCACATCCAAGCCCTCGGGAGATGGGCTTCCGAAGCCTTCCGCCTTTATTTCACAACACCTAGAACAACACTATATGCCTGGAAACGTCAATTCCAGACCGGTCATCCAACTCCGGTCTCATCTTCCATACCACCAGCCCCTCCATCATCCTCTTTTGGCCCACCGGGTCATTTGGGCCCGCCTGCAGCCCTCACGGCGCCGTAGCCCTCCGTCAACGAGGTCTACATCGCCAGTGTTCTGACCGCAGGTGCCCCGTGCGGGCCAAAATATCTCATCCGTCTCTATCTGTGCCAGTGTAGCAATGGTTGGAATAGAATATATATTCTAACCGAACTGAAGCGAAACACTACGAGCAGCGGAATTCATAGAATTAGACGACCTGTACATTTTTTGTACTAAACCACCGCTCTGTCTTCTATTTAAGCCCGCCCGCACTCAGGCAAACTATTCATATTTCGAAGACGGATCCTGGCCTATCTTTCCGCTCGAGATGTCTATCACTGTGAAGGGCTATTCTGTCCGACGAAAACAAATCCCTGTCTGTCCAGCATTTTGTGTCACTGACTATAAGGTTCAGGGTGCGACCCTCGATTCTGCCATTCTAGATCTAAAAAATGATCATAAGAATCGGCGACACGACTCTCACCGGAAATACTGTTCAACATACGTACAACTGTCACGTCTACGATCACTATGGGGCCTTCACCTTCTGCAGCCGATCTGCATGAGTGATATTGAGCAGAGACCTGACCCTCAATTACTGGAAGAAATGCGAAGATTAAGTCTGCTGCAACAAGAGACCCTTAGCGCATGGCAGACTAATCCTTGCGAATGATTATGTTGATTCATCCAATCATACTTTGACACGCTATTTGCATTCGTATGCACTGTGGTAGTCTCTCTTCCGAAATGCACCACCAATTTTGCAAAAATTGCCAAACTTTGAGACTCATCATATTTTCGCTCGTATCTGCAGACTGTAGCATTGGCCGACTAGAGTACTTCCCGGCACATCTTTTCAGAGCAACTCAATCAGTTATTACCCCGCTCTCCCTTCTGCATGACTCTCTGGATTTGCTTCATACCATTTTTTTTTCCACCACTCCCGATTACCGTGGAGTGACTCACTATTTCCAACATGCCATCAAATAAATCTTTCCCTGCTATTCTCCACGTGCGCGATTTCGTCGAACATATTGAACTAGATCCAACGCGTCCGGGTAAAGGACTCTCGATGCAGCTGCGTGTTTCACTAAATATACCGTTCAAGGATATCGAATCAGATGATGTTGTATCAAATGAGATCCCCACCCTCATTAGGTTCTTCAATGAAGGGAATCAGCCTGATCTTTATCAGCCCAATACTTTCGTTTATTCGTCTGGTTCCTTTTTGACTACATCGTCTGAAGATGAAGGATTTCACATTATACTGCACGCCCATAATTTAGACCGGTCAGTACACCATACCAATTAGAGTGCTCTGCTTATATCGTGCAGCCATCCGGGTAATCAAGAAGATGCAGATTCATACTTTGTGCACTGTCCCGGTGCTGCCCAGCCCATCGTAACTTTTCTCGGCATTGTCCTTGAACGCAGAGGACAAGTGAACGATGGACGGAATTTACTTCACTATCGTCTCCAAACAACTGTTTACAATCCATCAACTCGTACCCCTCATACTTTTCCCATCACCGCTTTCTTCAAGAACGGGCAACGTTGGGCAAACTTTCCGCCACTTAATGTCAACTCCCACGTGTTTTTAACGGGTCGTATCTTTGGCCTCACAAAAGAGAACCGCCAGTTAGCTATTGTGGCAGATGACATACATTTCCTGCCGACATCAACAAGTAGCCTTCCACCAACGCCCTCTTCAACAACCGGAAAAAGGAAACGTGTTGACCGCTGGTCCCAGAGGGCTGGACCAACCACACCATCCAAATCCACATGGAGCCATACAAATGAGTCTTCCCTCGATGAACCACAGCTTGCAAGGTCTATTAGAACGAATACTCCTGTTGACGAAGACGAGGAAAGCACTCAAATCACCTGGGCTGATACGGTGGATGACACCAAGAGCTTGCCACAGGCAAGCACTCCTACTCCAGAAAGGCGTTCACAAAGGTCAAGAAAGGCTTCATACGCCAATATACTTGCACAATCCAAATAAAAATGCGGCCAGTGATTCGAAAACATGCTTACATCATTTCATGTTGCGGCCATTAGTCATCGTTGGGGCTTTCTGTCATTGGTCCATTTGGTTTCAGACGCTTTTCCGCTTCATACGAAACATTTGAACACAACTTTTCACTTTTAAATCCTATTTTCCTTTGATTTCGTTTCAGGGCTGATGCGCGCGACGCGCGCGTCTTCCAGTCGGTATTGTCAGGATGTGTATCAGTTTGCTATTTATGGACTAGCCGAGATTAGCTACGTTCGCACCCATACAATTTTGTATGTGTACGGTCATACCAATTCGGACAACTATCCATGGACATTATTGGGCGTACAATTCTGTACTGACAATAAACGAGGATAACGGCTAGCTGGTCAATACAAGGTGGAGTATCTGCTTTGACAACACTGTCTAGATTGATTCACAAAGGCTCCAACGTAAGCATCCCCATTGCCAATTGGATCCTATCAAGCCAGTCACCGGGCTTTTCACCCTGACACGTAGAGGGGATAATGATCTCAGAGGAACCATGAGGGGTGTGACCCTTCGACGAGGCAGGAACATTCTCGAGTTTCCATGAGGGCTTCAAAGAGCTGTCCACAGCCCAAGACGGAGGCGACACGTGTGGACTTGCATGTGGTTCGAGGACAGTGTATAACTTATCGAGCAGAGCAAGAGCAGATCGTATCCCATGTAGTGAATGCTGTGCAAAGACACAGGCAATAGTAGTCGGGATAGACCCGAAGAATGCCATTCGCTCTTGGATTGTTTGGTGCTCGCTGACATTAACCAGGTTGACGGTCATTTGTTTACGGAAGTCAGCCAGTGTCTTTCGAGTTTTGTGGATCTCGTCAATCAATCCTTTTCTCGAGGACTTCGACACATGCTTCTGAGCAATCATGTTTTGCGTGCGAATAAACAACCCTGGGCATCTTGTCACCTCGCTGAAGGCATTGTCGACGATAGCTCCAAGTACACTCTTCTTCCCATTCCTTTCATCTGCACTGACTGTGTCCTTGATCGCTGATTGCCATTCACTGCTCTCAAGGAAACATGACTCTCCACGGAGAAATGCATCAAGAACCAGAAAGGACCGGAACGAGATCAGAAGCGTGCGGCCAATCCCGTTCCGATGTGGGCTCGGCCCTCGCGATCGGATAAGGTGAGCTATACCGCGAGAGTGAGATAGCCAGGAGCATTCAGCGGTCCCATCCATCATCTCATAAACCCCCAATAGAATCGCTGCAGCGAGAGTCTCATCCGACATGGCGGAGGTGGGGCTATGGAGCGCGCAAGCCAACCGATTCAAGCCCCGATTGTACATATATCGACTCCAGATCAACTGCTCCGAGTCTTTATACTTCTTCCCTAAATAATAAGTGCTGAGAGATCTTATCGCCCAAGAAAGTGGCGATGGGGGGTTATCAACATGGGTGCAGCGCAGCCAGTCCATCAAATTGACTTCGACACGCGCACTGTGCCCAAAGTAAATTCCTGGAAACACCGTCGTGACGAAGGAATTAAACGCTTCTCGAATCTGGGTGTTCAGCGCGCTGAGCGCCAGATTTGGTGCCAATCTCTCATCCGCCAACAAGAGCAGGGACTCTTTTGAAGTATCATCGCAAGCAGCAAGGAGTAAGGGTCTGGTGCCCCGTGTTCCAAGTATAGGGCCTGTTGTACCCTGGACCTCGTATTGCCTGATCAACGGGTGGGCACGATCGCAGAATTTGGGCGTAATACTTTTAAGGTGAAAGCTTTGTCGAACGAATGCAAACGGAGAAAAAGAGAGGCTTCCTAGATATGAGTTTCGCAGGTCTGAAAAATGCAAGGTTGATGTAATGGCGATCGCGACTGCGTAATAGTGCGAGAGTATAAGAAAGGCACTTGCTTCTTCTTCTCGTTCGGCCAAGAGAGCCGGCGGCAGCCAAAGCAGCCATGTATTTAGCGGACGCAATCTATCGAATGCCTCTTCAGCATTGACAAAAGGACCACCAGATTGTAGCTTCTGGATGAACTGCAATAATTGACTAATGTACGAACCATGGAGTTGTTGGACGAATGAATTCTGCATGTCGAGCAAATTGGCGGTGACAGTGTCCAGGGCTGCAGGACCGCAGCCGCAGAAGAGCTCCGAAGAAGAATCATCCTTCATGTCGTTCTGGTCATCCAAAAACTGGGCCAGTTCGGATCGATACTTGGCACCCGGTGTCATGGTATTGAAAACCTGTGCGACAAACTTAGTTGGACCATGCCATAGCAGACAAGTGTACATAACCCACCGTGGTGATTCCTCGCTGGAGCAAAACCCATTCCTGCCTGTAAGTCACAAGACGAAGAAAAATCAATTCGGAGAACAGTCGATCTTATGAGGATATCATCGTACCACTCGTTTGCCTGCCATAAAAGGAGGATAGATGCAGCCAGAACTGCCTCGGAGATGCTTTCAGAAAGTTTGTAAAGAGATCTTCGTAGCCCGTTTAGGGCAAATCCTCTGTACAGGAGCATTAAATTCCTCGTTTGGTGGTTTCGGGTAATCCAAGCTATGTAGCTAGCAGAAAATGCCAGGAGTGAGCTCATCACAAATGGGTTCTCGAGCGCCATCGTAAGAAAGCTTTATTAACCGTCAGTCTGTGTAAGTGGACTTCAGATTTCTGGAAACGATGTGCTTGGGCCTACGTACAAGGGCATCTTCTGCAGCCAGACACTGCAGTTACTAATACCACGACTTTCAAAATCGAGGGAGATACGAGTGACGTGAAGCAGAAGCCTCAAATCGGTTCCCGTGTAATTATCCCAGAAGCCTTCGGGGACTAGCCGTAGACGAGGCAAAGGCGATATGCCCGTCAAGTGCCATCGTCGGAGTTCGGTCATTATCCCCCTAGTCATGAGGAGGTCCGGGCATCTTCCGTGGTGACCCGTATCGAGGAAAACGGTGTCTGAGTAATCGCAAAGCCGATTGAGTCTGGAGCAGTTTTGGCTAGTTGAATCGTTCAGTCATTGACAATCGGGCTAGAGCATAGGAGGTTGATTACCATTGCGGAAAAGCCTCGTCACAGCGGATATGCTTTCTTTTACAACTGCGACAACCATTTCTTGATTTCCGGTGGGACCTGCGCGACGGCTTCCTGGCTTTTCCACGCCCCATCGTCTCTTAATAACAGAGAAAGCTTGCAATTCTGTGACAATTCCTCAAGTTGAGGGGTCTTGATGGCGAGAATGGGATCGGATCTCTGAATATTTCGGACAAAAGCTTGCCCCGATCCCTGTTTTTATTGTTTGATAATTAAGCCTTGAACCGCACCCCCAAAACTTGGGACTTTGGAAGCAAACCAATTTGAGGAGGATAATACTGCGGCTCAGCGCGAGGCAACACGAAACAACACGAGGCAACACAAGGTGAGGGTCCTATGGACTGTTGACAAGATCAAGAGGCCTCTCAAGGTTTCGATATGGACGATTTTTGGGTGTATGCCGATCATTGGCTACTCAAATGATGAATAGGGTGACCTTCTCGTCCCAGGCGCGCCTTTGGGTTTCGCTCGAACTTTTCCTTGAAGTTTCCAACCTTGTCAGCGTTCCGAGAGCCTCAGAAGAAAAATGCATAGTCGTCGTGTACACACTCAGCCAGAAATTTGCTTATATCATTATCGACAAATAAATTCACGGAGAAGTGCTTTACTTTGATAGTCACTCGAGAGAACAAAATTCTCGTTCTTCGTCAATAATTTGTAGAGGAGAGGAGATTTGGATGCGGAGAAATGATTATATGAACCAGGCAGCAAAATAATGATTGGAGACTTGATGTCGAGGATAGTGGGGTAGCACCCGAAATAGTTTAGTTCCGTTTGTGTCGTGATATCTTCATTTGTACTAGGGGATTCTCGACACTCCGAGATCGGGAGGTTCAACCCCTCACCCTACTCATGTAAGCAAGGACACCCTAACGTGTCCTCGCAGCGTCCGCTCTTTTCTTCTTTTCTTCAATCAATTCATCCTATCTTTTTGGATTGGTTCCCCTTGGTAGATTAGCCCCATTCTTGCATACAATGCCATACTGTATCAGCTAGCTGCGACATCTCAAAACTTACCTTCCGACTACGTACGCCTACACCTGCACCATCACTAGTTGAAGGCTCGATTTCCTCTGCTTTTCAGACTCCACAGAATACTCGCCAGCTAGATCGGAAAGTTCGAAACCTGCAGAACAGCCTTAATAAAAAACGGCAGCTTTCTAGCAGTCCTATTGCTCATATTCAACATCTTGAGAAAGCTGCGCAAATGGCGATGCAAACCCAACTGCTTTTAGAGCAAGAAATCAAGGCTTTACGGGCTGAAAAGGGCCGACAACGTCAAAGAAAGGCAAAAAAGCGTGGCAAACTAGGTAATGATCGCCTTCTTAATGTACAGGAAGGTCAAAATCGGATTCAGCAGCATGATACGCAGCTTAATGAGCAACCTGAAGAATCTACTCCCGTGCCTCGCCGACGAGCTCCGCAGCGCTGCAGTGGCTGTGGAACAGTGGGACATACGATTCGAAATTGCCCTAGTAAATAGCTATTTTTTTATGTATTTAATTAGTCAATTCTAATGGTGTTGGTGGTTTAAAAGCTTCAAAAAGTGGTGGCTATAGCAGAGAATCCGCGGTTCGGTGGTATCCGCGGTTCGGTGGTTGATTACGTTAATCCTGTAGTGTCCGTAACAATTCCCTATCTGGTCTTCGATTTCTCACGAGGCTTAGTATTGGTAAGCTCACCGAAGATGTTGCTGGAGATCCTTGGCTCGGATTTCTTAGCTTCCTTGGAGAGCCAAGATTGTGCGACGTAGCCCGTGTACTCGTTCTCAGCCCTCTAAACTAGGATGTAACGTGGGGGTATATGTCCTTTTTGTATGAGATAATCGACGCCTTTGTACTCCTCGCCGAACTCCTCATCTAAATACCGCATAAAAAGGTCCAGTGATCAACTTCAACTGCAGACAGCTGATCTTTGATATCCTCGATGTCTTGGCGACTATGATACATGAAGAGTTACGGCGCAAAAAATTCCCCACTCTTATTATACTCTCTTCGGATGTCACTGAATTCAGGTTTCGCGTCAAGTATGGCATACAACGCAGTTTTCAATTCTTTCGCAACGGGGTGGATACACTCAGAAATGGACCATAGAAGCTGTGGCGATTGGCCACTTCCGATGCCACAAGTCTTGCTTTTCTTGCTGTAGTTACGAAACACAACGAATGAGAGATCAGAATTAAGCGCGAGGAAAAGATCAAAGTTCTGAAGACGGATGCTATATCGGAGATGGGCATCACCATTTGGCATATACACAATTTCCGGGCAATCTTTGAACATGGCGACTGATTTCTTCAGGTCCTCGGAATCATCGTCGTGATCATTGTTCGAGGCTGGGTTGTGGAGTCGATATAGAAATTGGAATCTCGGAGTCTCGGCTTCCCTGATTGTTGTCTTTTTCATTCGTCGACATCTTTGAATTGTTTGTAGTACGTGGCCGGGAAGATGATCCCGGAGGTTGAGAAAGTTTCTCACTTTCTTGACAGGCCATCATTAATCGTAAATTGTTCCATTGCTCAAGGAGCATCAGCTGGGAATAATAATCCTGAGACTTTTCTTGGGTATCTTCTCGCTGGTGCAGGGATAAAAGTCTCGATTCGTCTATTAGGCTTCCCTGAGTTTGGTTCTCTGAAATGGTCAAATGATTGAATTGTGCCCATTCAGCCCGTTCATCTGGTGTTCGATCGGCTTCCGTTCTTTCCACAGTGCGATCGGCAAGATTTTGCTGTAGCTGTTGCTTCAGACGACCCTGGCGAGCCGGGATAACTCGTGGGTGAGATTTGATGGAGCACTTAAAGGGCGATGTTTGATGGTGAGCTTCTAAGTGCAACCACTAGATCCCCAACACGGAGTAGGAAGCAATGTGTGGTGGGCATAGCACGTAAGGTGAGGGGGCACCCAGGTGCATGCAGGGGGTGGTCTAGCGCAGCGAGTCAGCCTTTTCTAAGGCTGGCCAAGAGTTGATCAGGCAGCACAGGCAGCCACTTGTTCCAACGAGATATTCACAATATGGTACTGAGAGAAACCTTGCAAGAATTCTCCCAATACTATGGCAAGTGGGAATATTTCCACCCAGTACTCAAATTAGTACATGGCTAGTGGGTGCGTACATACATAGTATTAGCTTCAATCCATTTTTTAGTCCGACCATTCACAGCTCTGGCCTCTTGAAACTCGCGGAGCTGGCATTTAAGGAAGCGCGAGCCATATTCGAAGCTCAAGGAACGACGGATCCAAAAAGAAGCGCCGCCTAGAGGGCCTCAACGTAACCACTGTGGAAGATCTTCCTGGTGCCGTTGATGAGACAAGGCAGCATTATGACAAATTCGGTTGGAATCAAAAATGAGAAGATGTATGGAGCAAGTGTCGGAGAGAATTCCTTATTACGGAAATGCTATGGATGTCTTGGTTCAGCATCATCCGGAATATGTTTCTCTAGAATGGGGAACTATAAAATTATTGTTTGAGGTATGTCCCAACAGCCCCATCCAAATTGATGCTCTTCCTCAAATGTCCTTTGTCAGGCAATTGTGGAACACAAGAAAATAGGATCCGCTATCGTGAACGGTGTCCTGGACATTGCGAATCCTCTACCACGTGTGAAATCAGAAGGGTCGTTGAGAGGAGCTATACACTCCATTACGAAGCCTGCGCCCCTAAGATACAACGATATCATCGACGACATTCACCGAGTCACCGAGAGAATATCTGCCCACACAACAGCGGCAGCCAAGCCGAGCAACGTGATATGCACCAAGAGCTCGTGGCGATCAAACAAATTGTCAAGTCGGGGAATGAAGCAAAGGTAAAACAACAGAAAGATCTCCAGCAAAAGCTACAAGTAGGGGTGAATCTTGTTAGCGACCTAAAATCCGGCCGGCGATGGCACCAAGGGAATTTGTTCCAGAAAGTTTCCCGGATAAGATGAGCCAGTAATCTGTCCTGAGATATCGAGTTTCTATTCTATAGAATCACAATCCATGCACAAGAGAGCTACCTATATGCAAATATGGGTCTGTACAGGAAACATTCAGGTATACATCAAGCCTGCCAAGGAACCTTCTACCGCTGAGGTCTCCTGCAAAACACTCCTATGACGAGATACATCCGGCACAGGACGACGTATTTCCCTCCGTATTGTTCCGATATTGTAGTTTCAGAGAGGGGTACAAAGCACCCTTCCATTCGGGGGTTATTCCAACCTCCAATTTCTAATTCCGTCTCACTTGGGCTGTCTATTAGGAGTATTCTCATCTATACCTCTTCTCCCAACAAAACTAACAGTCTAGCTGTCCGTGTTGCCACAGGTAAAGCTGGCCTTGCTGGAGTCATCATGGATGGCAGTGCCGGAAGCATACAGGCCCAGCACGCACAGAGCAAGACCAAACAGGGCGATGGCCACGTTGAGCACGGTCATCGCGACCTTGCGCGGCGAGGCGAACCACTGGCCGCGGTTCAGGTGCAGCCAGTAGATACCACTGAGACCGTAACTGAACCAGCTGGCGAAGAGAGCGCTGATCAGGGAGTTCAGGTCGCTGAAGACGGGGATTGCCTCGGCAATGATCCAAGCGACAATCCAGCAGGATACGCCCAGGCCGAGCCACAGGCCAATGGACTTCCAGTTGCGCTGGTGGATCAGGTCCGATTTGGAGCAGAGGCGGAAGTAGATGTACTTCAGGCCAATGTGGCCGTTGACGACACCAGCACCGACGATGGTCGGGATGGCAATGCCAAAGGCGACCTTCTTCATCAGTGGGCCGGCAGAGCTCAGGGCGGGCGAGGACACGTCCTTGCCGACGTA